AATTTGCCGTCTTCTTCTGGTATGAACGACCTATGAGTATCTTCGTCACACTTTCACCCGAAATGAAAGTTGGGTCAAAAATGATTTACTAACTGAATCTTTAAATGACGGTTATTCTCGGTATCTACACACAGAGGGATTAGTATATTCCACTTCTCCAAACTCTTTTACTTATTGACATACGAAATGAAAGCGAGAAATTTTTCATTTTCCAAGAATGGAGAATAAGTAAGTAGAGGTGGCATTGTGAAAAATTATAGTTTTTATAAGATTCCGATCACGCTGCCAGTGAGGCATGTATTGATGCACCTATTCAATGGTCTGGTGGTGTGAAACAAGAGGATAACAGTGGCACAAGACGCCGACCGAAGTTGACCCTTTGTATTCTGTATGGAAATAAAAGGTAAAACCAACTGGTTAAAATATATTTTTTGTAGAAGGTAGCTAAAAGCAACGTGTTGCTTTTTTCCAACTCTCTTTCCAGATGACTGTAGAGTGATTCGCCATTAAATTTGCTACTCGAAATTGGAGCTCGAATGGTAACATCGCTCTACCTTGGACATTGAGGCAATCGCCTTCAGAGTCAAAGTTGTTCAATTCATGTAGACATTCTCTAAGTCGACTTTAGGCAATACCGATCCGTTGGCAAGCATAGTACTCCATATTATTTCGTTTATATTTAGGTCGTCGTGACTACTAGTAGGTCATATATACATAAGATGCATTCACCCTTTTTCGTATCGTACTGATAAGGGTGTGATAATTTAATTTTCTCACAAGCATATGAGTGGGCATGACGTGTCCATTGAATTTCACTTGGCTTTGCTTTCCCGAGGGGTATTTGTATCCCGGTTGAAGTAGACTGTAGCTTCGAGCTCTCCCAGCTTTCTTCAGCACCCCAAGCAGGACTCGAACCATCACAATGCAGCCTATTACTCCGACATATGAATCACTACGCTACATGACCACATCGCCACGAGTCCGCCTGGGTCATAGAGCAGATTTGAATTTCAACGAAGGCCAGGCATTTTTCCATATCACATTCTGTGGTATGAGTAAATAACCTTAAACCAAATCGGATGAATACATCTCATACATTGCATTCTGGGCTTATAGAGCAGAATATGCTGCCCTCATTCAACATTTTGTTCAATTCCACTTCCAGTATGAAAGCGTACGCGATCTAAATGAGCTTTAGAGAGCAGTCAATCTGGTATGGAAGACTATTTTTTAATTCATAGCAGATACAAAGACTTTGTAGAATTCCTTTACTCCGAAGTGACCAGATGTTAACCTTTCCTCTAAAAAAGGTCGTGTGATCGTTTCGTCATGTATGTGCTACACATCATTAGTGCCAACAATTCGCATTTCCATCAAGAAAGCTTTAGATCCCGTTGGTGCTTGATAGTTGCTTACATCAGGCGACAGTTTGGTCAAAATCAGACATAAAAGGGTAATTCAAGAGGTTTCTTTGAGCCACATCTAACTAAACCTTTTCCCCTCAGAACCCTTACTTTTTTCCATCCTCTTTCTTCTCAACATAACATAAGATTTTTCACTGACTCGAACATGTGGCATTTCGTGGCATAGCTAGTGGCTGATCGCCTCATCGGCCATAGGAGTCCGTATAACCTCAGGTGATACAATAAGTGGGAATTGAATTTTGCACAAACATATAAATAGGTGTGAACAGGCATCGAAACTATGAGTAGGACGGCCCTCCGATGCCATCAAGGTTCATTTGGCCGACTGGACTGCAGTTGGGACCACTTATAGACCATCGCAGTATTTCCTATAGAAACCGGTCTCTCCCTTTCTCTCTCGCGGGCCTATCTTGCCTGTTATGACCGAAAGCGGCATAAAATAATAAAAAATATTTCTTGTCGATTTACCGCAACTTCAGACGTTCTTACTGCCTAGCCCAAGTGGGGCTTTAAAGGGGTCAGTGCTAAATAAAGAAATGTCTTTATCAAATAGCACCCATCATTACGCAACCCTCAGACCGAGACATCATTGTCATTGTAGCGGATAGGTACCATTTGCATAGACAATCTATCTTGAAGAAGAAAGAGCTTCGATATAGTGAAGATATCAAATTAATACCTTAACATAGCAGCATTGTTAACGGTTAGAACTCTTCGGTTTCTCTAAATGTATACATAGACCGGATGACCAACATTCACAGAAGGATCTAGGCCTGTGGGTCAGCGAAGAAAATGCTGCCAGGAGGCAAATGTCCATCACATCTAAGCTGCCTATTTGGTGGGGCTTGGCTGCCAGAATGATTCACATCTTCACCAGTGGCCATCCGACCGGCAGTCAGAACAGAGGCGGCTTTGTCGAGGATGTGATGCTCCTGCATGAACGAGGTACCTGTAACCGGTTTTCACCAGTCCATTATGAACCACATTTTATGCGAAAAATTCCAATTTCTATTTAGGCTCATTCACAAAGGTCGAAAGGAGACGTAAGTCGAATATGAAATTTATAGAGATCCGTTACTTTTTAAAACTTCGATGCCAAAGTTGACTCAATTTATGCTTTCTAGTGGGTTGTCTTGGCAACCGTTGCCTAGACGAGATGAGCAGATTGAAAAAAACTTATCAGAAGGAGCAGATCTCACTTTGTTCTTTTAACAGTGCAGTACATAAGTAATCGTGTAAGTCCCAGAGGTGTAAAAGCTCCGTTTAAAGGTTTATCAAACGTGTGGAATTGAAGTGGCTTTACTTGTTTCTTTGACAAGTGGTGGCCCGGTGCTAAGACTTAGGACAAGGTGAGTCCAACTAGGTCGCCCTGACAACACGACCAAGTTGCGAAAACGAGCTCAGACCACTTTTGTACAGCGAAATAAGTCTGTGACCAAAATAGAGGCCACAGCATCTTGGTCTTCATATCTACCCCTAAAGACAGATAATTGAGTTTTTCCCACAATAAAATTTGCTATCAACTACAAAATAATTGTACAAGCGTAACCAACTTTTCTTCCGGTAGTATTACAGGAAGAGGTCTACTTTCGAGCTTGACGTTTTCGAGGCTCCAGAAATTTCTCGTTGATATTAAAACCAAAATGACATGGCCTCCTTCTTTGGTCGCAGTTTCCTTTAGCTCTCTAGTGTTGGTTTGACCTCGTTTTTGTAGCTTGATCGGAGCATCAGGTAGACCTTGTAGAACGTACCTAGTCCTGTGTCCTCTGCCGTAGTATTCGTGATTCCCAGCATCGAAACGTCTACTTGATACACTCCAAGACGTTTCGCCGGCGTCGTAGTCGGCAATGTCAGGGAGGGCTGCCAGCATCAGCACTTGTCAATGATCCGATGCTGGACATCACGAATAGTATGACAGAGGAGACAGGACTAGATACCTTCCACAAGGTCTCCGTGACGCTCAAACCAAGTTGCGATAACGAGACAACAATGGACAACCAAATAAACCAGCGATTGACCACCAAATGATCAATTACATAATTTATTTCAAGTCGTCAATAGAAGCTCCTGAACCAGCTACATGCCTTCCATCTGAGAGACAATTTATTAATAACTTTCTGCTTTTTTGAAGCAAATTTGTTGTCATTGGAAGCGCAACTCCCTTACTGCCCAGTGGAAGTGGAATTTCTACATCGCGAAATTAGCTTAATGAAAACAGCTGATTTCTTCACCTAGTTTTCTAAACATTCATACTCACACTCGCACTTGCACTAACATTCTCTCTTTCTCTCACCCAATAAAGGACTCCCGCCTTTACTCAAACACGCAAGCACATATAAATTATTTCTTGTCCAAGGGTGGGTAGAATAAATTCAGATCCCCTATACAAATTTGTTTAAAATGCAAGCTTAGTTGAGCCAGAGCTTACATACAGGCTTCGACTACGAGTCAGCCTGCAAAGGCGCGTCTTTGGGGCAAAAGATTAAGAAGTTTGTTCTTCCGCCACGTATATGAAATAGCTCTTTGTAAATCGGCCTCATTTACTCATTCGGACGCTGTTCTGAAGAGCTGCATTATCATTATGAGCTCATAATTCGAGAAGGTGCATTTGAATATAATATTTAAGAGATTTTGCCTACCGGCAAAGAAAGCTTACAAGAAATTTGGGGATATTTTCCGCGGCGAAATGTGAAAATAGCATATCTTAATCCCTAATATGTGAATAATCCGCAGTTTGAGTATGCCTTGAAAGTGACCGTTTCCTAGTGCTGTTTTATCTGGGGCCGACCAATCAAAAGCGAAGTCTTAACCTCAGCAGTAAAAACTTCCCTTGAGTAAATTGGTTTGGCTGATCGTCTGCTTAAATAAAATTAAAATTTTATTAATACAAGGTTTGATTATGCCCGTTTGAACTATCAGTGTGTTGATAAATTAATTAATCACACGGCATTAAAGAAATACCTGACTTTTCAATACTGTTTTAACTCTTCTCTTCTAGAAATATTTCTTTCCTCATCAAACAAAGTAGCTATTGATTACGGATGTGGAG